ATTCTAATCCCGGCAGCCACACTTCCCATCCAGCTCCCTGCTTGTGGCCTGGGAAAGCAGTAGAGGATGGCCTAAAGCCTTGGGATCCTGCATCTGTGTGGGAGACTTGGAAGAAGTCCCTGACTCCTGGATTCAGATCAGCTCAGCTCCGACCATTGTGGTCACTTGGGGAGTGAATCGACAGACAGAAGATCTTCCTTTCTGTCACCCCCTCCTGTCTGTATATCTGACTTGGCAATAAAAAATAAATCTTTTTTTAAAAATATAAAGAATTGTGTTCACCATGAGCACCTCTGAAGAGGATTTAGTTTTCCTATGAGTGACAGTGACAGATCTTCCATCTGCTAGTTCACTTCCCAGATGATTTTAACTACCACGGCAGGGCCAGGTGGAAGCCCAGAGCAGGGAACTCCAGCATTGATCTTGCACATGGATGGCAGGGGCACTTGGGCCACCCTCCACTGCTTTCCCAGGCACGTGAGCAGGGAGCTGGATCAGAAGCGGTGCGGCCAGGACTTGAACTGGCACTCTAACACAGGATGCCAGTTTCGCTAGTAGAGGCTTGATCCCCTGTGCCACAACACCTGCTGCTTCAAACATTCTACATCCTGAAGCTTGGCATCTCGCTATGTCACAGTCCCGTCCCAGAGTTTCAGGTACTGACTCTGTCCTGGAAGGTAAGTGACTTTCCCGGAGCCCCAGAGGTGCAGAGTGAACCCATGGACAAGCACAGGTGTGTCTGGTTGTAACCCAGGGATGTGAGGCGAGAAAAAAAAAAAAAGCCATTTTTCTTTTTAAAAAATGAGTTGGTTGAAAGGCAGAGTGATGGAACCAACATCTCAACATGCACGCAATGGAGCCTCCCAGCCCTGCAGAGGAGACTGCCTCTCCAGCCTGCCAGCTGTTAGAAGGGCCTGCCAGCTGTTAGAAGGGCCCTATGAAACAGGTTGCCAGGCGGGGGTGGTAGGATAGGGGGCCACTGATTGACAGTCAGACACACCCACAATCTCAAGGAGGAGACACATCTTTGGGCATCCTATATGGGTACCGCTTCATGTCCCTAGTTGCTCTACTTCCCATCCAGATCCCTGCAACAGAGAGTGGCTCAGATGTTTTGGTTCCTGACACCCACCTAGGGAATACAGATGAAGCTCCTGACTCCTGGATTCAACCTGATCCATCTGTGGCCATTTAGGGGAGTGAGCCAGTGGATGGAAGATCTCTGTCTCTCCTTTTCTCTCTGTCCTTCAAAGCTTAAAACTTAAATCATAAAAGTAAAAGAGTGATGGAGAGACAGAGATCTTCCACCTGCTGGTTCACTTCCCACATGACAACAGCAGCCAGCACTGGGCCCGCCCATGTCAAAAAAAGTCCATCTGAAAGTCCATCTGGGTCTCCTGTGTGTTGGATGGGGATCCAAGCCTTTGGGCCATCTTCCACTGCTTTCCCAGGCAAATTAGCAGGGGGCTGAACGGGAAGCAGAACAGCTGGGACTGGAGCTGTCACTCTGATATGTGATGCCAGCATCACAAGCAGCAGCTTAATGTGCTGCACTGTCATGTGGGCCTCGGGTAGCCATTCCTTATACAGTTCTATGTCAGCTACAAAATTCAAATCTATGAGTTCAGAGAACTTGTATAGTGGCTTTTTATGGGTGATGTAATGAAATAATAATTATCTTTCAATAATTTTTTAAAAGATTTATTTATTTGTATTGGAAAAGCAGATATATAGAGAAGAAGAGAAACAAAGAGGAAGATCTTTCATCCAATGGTTCACTCCCCAAGTGGTCACAACAGAAGGAGCTGAGCCGATCCTAAGCTAGGAGCCAGGAACTTCTGGGTCTCCCACACGAATACAGGTGCAGGGTCCCAAGGCTTTGGGCCATTCTAGACTACTTTCCCAGGCCACAAGCAGGGAGCTGGAAGGAAATTGAGGACACAAACCCATGTGGGCTCCAGGTGCATGCAAGATGAGAACTTTAGCCACTAGGTTACCACACTGGGCCCTTTTTTATTTTTTAAATTTGAGTGACAGAGACAGTAGGCATGCCCCCTTAATGACTCACTCCTCACATGATCACAACACTCAAGAGATGGGCCACACTGTAGTTGGGAGCCAGGAAACTCCGTCTGGGTGGCAGGGACCTAAGTACTTGAGCCATTACTGTGGCATCCCAGGTTCTGCATTAGCAGGAAGCTGGAGCCAAGACTCAGGCATTTGACCTTGGGACACTTGACCTTGGGAGGTGTCTTACCCACCAGTTTAACACCTGACCACACTCAGGGATTCAGATCTGAGTGGGACAGATCAGCTCTGGTCATGAAGGTTTTCTTTGAAGTCCTTCACTAAGTTATTCAAATGTGGGCTCTGTGTGATGGCTCAATGGCTAAATCCTTACCTTGCAAGCACAGGATCCTATATGGGCGCCACTTTGTGTCCCAGCTGCTCCACTTCCCACCCAATTCCCTGCTTATGGCTTGGGAGAGTAGCAGAGGATGGTCCAAGGCTTTGAGTCCTTCCACTCACATGGGAGACTCAGAAGACGCTCCTGGCTCTTGGCTTCAGATCAGCTCAGCTCTGGCCGTTACAACCATCTGGGGAGTGAAGTAGTGGATGGAGGATCTTTGTCTCCGGTCTCCTTTTCTCCGTAAATCCGATCTGCCTTTCCAATAGAAACCAATCTTTATTATTTTAAAAAGTTTTTCAAGTGCACCTGCATGCAAGGATCAGTTATAGCAGATACAGGGAGCTCAGATACAAGGTGACATTCTGTGGGGCCGAGATGGTGGTGGAGCAGGTGCATACTGAGGTCATTGGCAGGGCCCTAGGCAGAGCAGACAGCCCAGAGCAGCAGGGATGAAGGGAGGAGCTGAAGACAACAGCTTCCTGTTTGCGCAAGTGTCTGGGTGGTGGTGCCCAGCCTTGGTGGGTGGGGAGGGCAGACAGAACCAAGTTCAAGGGGCCAGCCAGGAAACAACCACAGAGTTAAGGGAGCTGTGGAAGATTTGGAGGAAGGTATCAGGGTGGGTGGCTGCTCGACTTCTATTGCAGCTCTCTGCTTTATGGCCTAGGGAAGCATCAGAGGATGGCTCACGGATGGCCTCTGCCCCCACAAGAGTCCTGAGGAGGTTCCTGGCTTCAGATCAGCTCAGCTGCAGCTATTGCGGCCATTTGGGGATGATGACTGGGCTGAACATGGCAAACCAGGGACCCAGGTAATTGAGCTAATCTGTCCCTGGTTGGCAGGGTTACTAAGAGACACCTCAGGCACTTTCGTTTCAGTCCCTTCTCTGCTGAGGAGATGGCAAGTGCACCCAGAACCCTAAAAGTGCTGTGTTGCTGCAGCCAGGCTGGGAACTGCTCTCCGCAAAGTGAAACCCCTGGCAGTTTGTGCTCTGCTGCTTGCACCCTTGAACTCTCTTCTGAAAAGTTCTCCATAAAATACCCCCTCCTCACCCCTTTCTCTTCCCTAGGAAAGAGTCGTCTGTACTTGGCCTCTCCCTCCTCCCTTCCAACTCAGCCTCCTGCGCTCTTCCTCCTCCGTGTCCCCAGCCTCACCCCATCCTCTCTCAACTCTCACCTCACTTCCTGCCCTACCTCTTTGCTGAGATCCACTGCAACCCAACTCCGGCTCTGCCCGCCTCTTCTGATCTCTCTTGAGCTGGAGCATCCTTTATTGTAAAAACAAACATACTCATTTTCTTAATTTTTTTGAAAGGCAGATTTATATATATATATAGAGAGAGAGAGATAGAAAAATCTTTCATCCATTGGCTCACTCCCAAATGACCACAACAGCCAGGACTGGGTAAGGCCAAAGCCAGAAGCCAGGAGCTACATCCATGTGGGCAGCAAGGGCTCAAGCACTTGGAGACGTTCTGCTTTCCTGGGCATGTTCGCATGAGCTGGATGGGAAGCAGAGCAGCCAGGATGCGAATGAGTGCCCAGCATCACAGAAGGCGTTTTAATCTACCCTACAAGCTGCATACCACTAATTCGACCTTAAAAAAAGTATTTATTTTAAAAGCAGAATGACAGAGGAGGAGGAGGAGAGAGAAAGAGAGATCAGTTTTTAATCCACTGGTTCACTTCCCAAATGGCCACAATGGCCAGAGCTGAGCCAGGCTGAAGCAAGAATGAGGACCCACCCACGTCGGTGCAGGGATCCAAGTACTTAGGTCATGCTCCACTGTCTTCCCAGGAACATTAGCAGGGAGCTGGATGGGAAGTGGAGTAGCTGGGACACAAATCAGCACCCACGTGAGATGCCAGCACTGCAGGCATCAGTTTAACCCTGTGCATCCACAACGCTGACCTCATCATTATTCTTCAACTTGGGAGGGGACATTCTTCAACTTGGGACAGCCCAGAGACTTCTGGGTCTGCTGTTTACATCCTGCAGGTGCACACGCACTTCCGATGTGAGGAGTTGGGAGGCTTGAATGTGAGCACCATAAAACAAGGGGGACGCAACCTCGAGGGAAGCTCGCAGCACCGTGACCAAGGACCCGGTCCTCAGGATATGCCTGCACGTCCACTTCCTCGGTAGCACCTCTGTCCTCTTTTCAGCTCCCTGCACCATCTCCTGGCCTGAGGGTTTCCTGGACATGTGTCCAGCACTGCCCTCGTGTGGCCTGGGTGGACACAGCAGCCTCCCAGCCAGTCCGCCACCTGGCACTGGTTCTTAGCCTAGCCTCCTAGGAATCTGGGTGAAGATCCCATCCCAGGAGCACCGGCTTAAAGCCGAAGCCAAGGCCACTTCACGGTCCAAGGGGTCCTGGGCAGGTCACCATCCACTGCCACCTGCTCTGTCTGTCTGTCTCAGAACAAGGCATATCCACAAAAGAGCAAGCTGAATTTTTTTTGCTTCTGTTGGATCAATAATCATTTATAAAACACACACACACACACACACACACAAAATGCCTGCCCTGGTCTTTCCCACGATATCAGACCTTTCTGGTCTCACTCCAGGGATATCACCTCCTCCAACCCTGAGCCCCTTCCCAGTATAGGGGGAGCAGGGGAGGGGGGCGGTGCGCTGACACAGAAGCTGGCCCCTCCTCCTTCCGAGCTGCCAGTGTAGGCCCTGATTATGTCACGGTGGGTGCCAAGCCTTAGGTACATCAGCTGCTCAAAGCCTCCCTGTGTCCATTTTGTCCATCGTAAAGCGGAGGTCCTGGTAGGCGGCATGCCGGGGTGAGACGCGGATCTGGCCAGATCCTCAGGATGGATGGGGGGAGAGCACAGGCAGGGTCCTGGGGCAGCAGGGTCTGGCCAGGCAGGGCTACAGCGGTTTGCCAGGGGTGCCCTCGGTGACGGCCCGCGTGGCTTGCTCAGGGATGCGGCCTGGGTCGGTCAGGATACAGGTGGACGTGCTCAACTGGCGGAGGGAGTTCAGTACGGCTGGGGTGGGGTGGGGGAAGGGAACAAGAGACGGTCATCGGTGGTCAGGCCCTGGAGTGGGGAGCTGCGGGGAGGGGGACGGGGGTGTGAAAGCAGCAGTGTGGCGACACAAAGGGACTGGGCCAAGACTGAGGTCCCCCGCCTGGACGTGGGAGTGAAGTTATGTCCAGGGCACCTGGCACAGTGCAGCAGGCTGTGTGGCTGGGCCTCCCGCAACATCCCCCTCCCCCCCTACACACACACACACATACACACACACACACAGAGTGGGGCCAGCAGGTGGGCTCACGTACTGGGCCGCAGAGCCGGCAGGGAGCAGTACTGATCCAGCCAGGCCAGCGAGGTCTGACGGAGGCTGTGCAAGCTGGCCGTGGACACCATGCCATTGAAGGACTCGAATAGTGGGCGGATAAGGATGCTGAACTGGACCCAGGTCAAGGAGCAGGTCTGAGGTCAAGTTAGTGCCCTCCCCCCCACCCCCACCGTGCTGTCTGATCTCAAACTCTGGTGTCCCCCATAACCTCAGTCCACACTCCCTGAAGCCCCCTCTCTTGCCCCCAGCCCCAAAGCCTGCTTGGCTGGCTCTCTGAGTCTGGTCCCTCCAGCTCTTTGTTTAGGGCCTGTCTGTGAACAAGAACTTGACCCTAAGTCCTTTGTGGAGGACTGAGGAAGGAAGTCGATTCTGTCTCCTGCAGGCCTCGCACCAAAGTTTAGCCTCACCCAAACCAGCCCCCATCTGTGACCTCCACCCCACCCCTACTCTACCCTCTATGCCATCGCGGACTGCCGAGCTAGGATACCACCCAGAACTTCCAGTTGTGCAGCGTACGGGTGCGAACGTAGTCCTCGAACATATCCCGCATCTGGTCGAAACGCTGGTGCGTGATGGGCACCCCGGTGGCCGGCAGCTGCTGCTGGCACAGGCTGCAGGATGCGGGCGGTGGGACTCAGGGCTGGACGTGTGTGGAGGTGCGGGGCACCGGACTGCATCCCCAGTCCCCACCAGCTAGCCAGCCTGGCCGCCTGTCGGGGGGCGGGGCCCTCGCCTGCCCCTGCCGGGAGCCCCGCCGCCCGCCTACTTGATGGCAGCGTTGAGCTCCTCGATCTCGTCGCGCAGCTGCTGGGCTTCCTCCTGCATGGCGGCGCGCTCCTGCTGCAGGACTGCAATGTACTCGGCCGTCTTCTGCAGCGTCGTGGCCTTGCTCACCTGCGGGCGCCAGCAGGGAGCGCTCAGGCGCTGGAAGCCCAACGAGAGACACCCCCACCCCATGCATCCATCCATGCATCCATCCATCCATCATTGCATCTCACACCTGCGGAGGGAAGGGATGCGCACCGAGCCCGACCTGCCCCGGAAGGCCTCAGGACGTTAGGAAGAGGTGGGAGGAGGCAGCTGGACGTGATCTTGGCCATGGCCATGGGGTGGGGGCGGCCGCCCCGAGGGAGGGGGGAGAAGGGGGAAGGAGGGGAGAGAGTTATACCTTGATGCTCGGCTGGGCGCTGAGTGTGCTCACTAAGCCATGGAGAGTGTCAAAGCCCAGCTTGATATTAAAGCGCCGCTTCTGTTCGGCTGAGATGTGCGTGATGCGCCGGTTCTCGGTCTAGGGGGAGCAGACATAGGGGGCGGCAAGGTGAGAGGGTAGGGATTGGGAGTGAACCCATGCAAGGGCTTGCGTGAATGGGTGGGCCTTGGCGTCCCCACCTTGTTGTCAGGTCGGCCGCGGCTCAGGATGGGTGGAGCAGGTGAGACAAGGATGCTCAAGGCCGCAGGTCCAGGCGCTGAGTGGAGCTCCCCCGAGGGCCGACGCTCGGTACCTGTAGCAGGGAGGGAGCCATAGGCGGGCACACTGGAGATGGAGTATACCCTGTCCCTGCTCTGCTCCCTCTCACCCCTTCATCTCCCTCCTCTGCCTCCCTCCACCCCCTCAGAATACTGCAGTCCTCGGGTCCCCTCTTTACCGCTGGGTGCTGGGGGTGAGAGTCGTTCCACTTTGGGGACCAGCAGGGGCCTGGGAGGGGCCAGGCTGGTGGGGCCTGGTGTTGGTCTGGGCGGTGCTGGGGTCAGCACCGGAGGAAAGAAGGTGCAGGGGTATTCAGGCGCCGGCTCCTGCTGGGGTGGAGGAGTGTGATGGTGGGTGACAGCGGAGGAAAAGTTCCTGGACTCCCCTGCCCCCCGCCCCAGGCCACCTGCTAGTCAACTTACCGGGGATTCTGGGGGTCGCAGGAGGGCACTGGGGGCCAGTGGTGGCTCCAGAGCATGCTCAGGCTTGGCTGTGCAAAGGCAGGACGGTGGAGGTAGCTCACTTGTTCAGGACCCCAGCCCAGGGACCCAGTCAGCTTTCAGGCACAGCCCAGGTCCCTAACTACTCAACTTCTGTCCCACCACCTTCCTCCCCTGCGTTGAGCTTACCCTAAGCTGCACCCCTGCCTCCAGCTCTGGCTCCTGCAGGCCTCCCTGCAAACTCACCTGCAGCAGTAAGCAGCTGTGTCAGGCAGGGGTTGTTACTTCTGGCAGTGGCAGTGACTGTGGGGCCAGCTGTGGCAAGGGCCAGGGTTGGGGGGCTGACTCTCTGTCCTCTGAGGGGTGCAGTGGGGGGCTTGCCTTGGGAACACACACCTTGGGGTACCGCGAAGTGAGGCCCGAAGCCTGACTCAGAATACCCAGAGGGGAGGTGGTCCAGGGGGAAGGGGCTGGAGGTGGGGCCTGGCACCTGCTGTGAAGTGGGAGGAAAAGGGGCGGGAGTGGGCAGTGAGGACAGACCTGGGGCCGGAGGGACCGGAGGGGCGGTTGGGAAAGGGAACCTGGGAGAAAAGACAGGCTCTTCCTGCAACAGAGCCGCTGTCACCACTGGTGAGGGCGTCAGGGCTGAGAAGGGGGCTGGGGTGCAGGGCTCCAGGCCATGCACCTTGGCGAGGCTGGGGCATTGGAGGAGAGGTGAGGTTGCAGGATGGGGCGGGAGCTTGGGCTTGGAGTCTTCAGGAAGGAGGAAATCGGAGCTCAGGAAGGCATTGGGCTCCAAGGGGCAGCTGCTCCGAGCCTGGTTGGGGGAGTGCGGGGTGGGGGGAAAGAGAGGTGTTCAGGGAGCAGAAGGGGAGAGTGAACCCCCATAGCCCCCACCTCACACCGCTTCTGCTGTGGATGACTGGGCCACTGGGCAGAGAGGAGGAATGACCCCTGCCTTCCGGCGCGCGCACACACACACACACACACACACACACACACACACAGGCACACATATACACATATCCACACAAGTGCCTACATGCACAATACAGGCAGGCACAGCAGGGAGATTGGTGAGCAGAGAAGGAGACATGTGTACACAAATCAGCCTCAACGAACAGCATCCATTTTCCTGTCCCACCAACCCCAGCTGCCCCTTGGAGCCAATGCCACCCTGAGCTCCAATTTCTTCCTTCCTGAAGATCCCAACCCCCAATCCAGCCAGCAACCCACCTGTCGCTCACCCATCAGTCCACTTGTCACTCATCCCTCCATCCCTGTTCCTGTCCACCTCCCAGCCCACCTCTGCCACTGAGCACCCTCTGATGAGCCACACAGCCCCTAGGCTCATCCATCCACCCATGTGCTCACTCACTGCATAACCATTTCCTGGGTACTCTTACATGCCTGAATGGTACCAGGGTCACAGGACCCAGTGCTCAGGAGACATTGCCCTTCCCAGCAAGGAGCTTACTTTCTGAGGGCAGAGGAGAAGCTCCTCCATGGTGCCCTCTCACAGCCCTGACAAGGGGGCGAGAGGTTGACTTCCCCCAAGGGCCCTTAAACCAAAAGGATCAATCACTTCCTTCGTCTTGACCGTGAAAACCTACAATTCCCCCACCCCAGCCTCCCTTGCTTCCCATGACAGAGGGGGTCTTCTCTGCCCAGCTGGACCGTGCCTTGTCTACGGCCATCATAGGTCGTCAGACAGGACAACTGGGTGACGCGGGGGCGTATGGGAGGTCTCAAGGTGGGCTCACCTGCAGGCGGCTGTGTCCCGGGAGGTGAGTCAGACCCGTGGAGGCAGAGGCGGAGGCTGAGGGCACGTCAGAGGTCAGGATCCCACTGCTGAAGAGGGAGTCGGCCATGGGGATAAAGTTGGGGGGCTCCGGGAAGGTCGGGGGTGCAGGTGTGTGAGGGGGCCGGTAGTTGGTGAAGAGATCTGGAATTGAGTCACAAGGGGCAGCAACAGTTAGGGTTTGGGCCGGGCTGGGAGACAGAGGGCGGAGAGTGGTCATCTGGCCCCATCCCCGAGGAGGAGGACCACGGGTGTGTATGGGGGCGTGATGGCGGGAAAGGGGGGCGGCCCTCACAGGAGATTGTGAAACTGGGGGAGTGTCTGTCTCACTCACGGGAAGCTGCGACAGAATCAATCTGGGGCTGCAAGGGTTCCGCGAGAGGTGGGGGCTGGGAGGAGGGACCCCTCGAAGTGACCTGCTCCCGGGACCCCAACCTTGTCCCACAAGGACCACTGATGTTCCCCCTGCCTGCTTCTCATTGCTAATTCCATTGGATTGAAATAGGGGGTACAGAGAGGAAAGGGGAGGGGTGGGGTGCAGGCTGGAAGGTCAGGAGGCAGGGGCAGTGCCCCAGGGCAACACAGGGTCAGAGATGAGTTGGGAGTGACAGAGGTCAGGGCTCAGAAGGGCTGGGCCCAGTTAGATTTGCTGCTAAGTTATCCCATGGGACTACAAGAGCAGGACCTGGGGGTAGGGTACAGGGTCTTAATGGGTGACAGACAGGACCCCAGGGTGGGCTCAGGGTATGGGGAGATGCAAGAGGCTGGGAAAGGGGGCTTAGAAGCCCTGAGGGGCCAAGCAGGAGGGCAAAGCGGATTGTGTAATCCTTGGGCTATTCTGGTTTTGGGAAGCAGCCGCCCCGTCAGCCTGACCACATCCCGGGCCAGTGCGCCGCCTGCCCACCCGTTCCCTTCCGGCCACCTTTCTCTGACCCGATCAGCCGCGTCCTTTCCAATTCTTGGGGCCTCCCATTGCCCACATAAACAAGTGCTGCCCCCACCCACAACAACCCTTAGCCCCACATTTCTTTCCGTTCAGTCTCACTCCTAATCCCCACCCTAGCCAAGAGATCCTTTTTTCATCCTTACACCATAAGAAGGCTGGATAAAAGTACAGTGAACCCAGGATGCATGGATATCTGGCATGTACATATGTGTATGTATGTATGTGTATTTGCATTCACAAATACACATGTGACTGCCAGACCTGGGGTCTGAAAGTCCAAATGGCTGACCATGGAAAGATCAGTCAACGGTATGTGTGCCTCCCCGGGTCTTTGGCACCGTTGTGATGGCCCTGAGTGTGCCCCCATGGTGACATTACACTCAGTATACGCATGTGCACTTTCGCCCACGGCCACGTGTCCATGCAGATGGCTTCTTGCCATCCGTCCACAGAGGGATCCAACCCAGCAGCTGGTGTGGGCATGTGGTGCTGAGGCTCAGCCTCTCCCTGTGTTGCCCACCGTCCATGCCCAGGAAAGGCCTGCTCCATCCTGGCTCCCTGCTGATACGCACCCTGGGAGACAGGCAGCAGGGGATGGTTCAAGGACTTGGGTCCCTGCCGCCCTTCCCTCCTCCTGCCATGGCAGACAGGACTGGGTTCCTAGCTCCTGACTTGGGTCTGATCCATCCCTGATTATAGTAGGACTCTGGACCAAGGAGATTTAAGTTTGTCTGTGTGCCATTGAAACAAAATGAATATTTTAAACGAAGCCCTCAGAGGGACTAGGTGGGACAAGACCCCTGTTGCCTCCCCTACCTGGGCGCTAGGGGGCCTTCACCTTTAGCCTTGGCTTCCGGGAGCATCCCTCCCCCCCCCACCCCCAGCACACAAGGGCAAACCCAGCCCAGTTCTGAGCCACCAGCTATCCCCTTACTATGCAGTCCTCACCCTGCCTTGGGGCACTCACTTCCCAGCCCAGCCACCTACTGAGCCCCAAAACAGCCCTGCTCCCTGCCCCCATTCCTCTCTCCCTCTCTCCCTCTCTCCTAAGGACTTCCGGCCCCTTCCTGGGTTTCTAATCTGACCTTTCCAAGAAGGGACTTTTGGGGAGACACTCAAGAGAGGCAACCCCAGTGATCCTGGTGCTTGCTGACCTACCAATGCACAGAGCACATGAGGGGGCCAGCCCAGCCACATGGCAGCAAGCCAGGGTTGACAAAAGTGGATTCCTGGCTCTAGTCTGCCTGGGCTTTGCCCAGAGCCTGGATTACCAGGGTAATCAGAGTAGGGGTGTGGGATGGGAGCGCGGCGTTGAGTTCCTACCTGTAGCTGGGGTCTGGACACCCACCCACGGCTCCTGCCCTTGCAGGCTGCTCTGCCCTTGGGGCACTGCCATCCACAAACACTTCTGCCCCTAAAAGCTCCCACCCAGCCCGTGGCTGGGGGCGGTTCCTCATTCCCTAGTTCCCGCCCCATAGGCTTCTAGTCCCAACCTTATAGGCCTGTACCTCTTGACTGACAGGACCCTGGGACAGGGAAGGGGAGGAGTTGGGTGCGGGTTACAGAAACTAACCTAGGGACCTTCTTTGAGCCCCTAGACCACGGGGGAGACAGGCTGAGAATCTAATACAGCTCCAGAGACCCCCCCCCAAACTGCAGGATTAGGGAAAGTGGTCTCCAAGATTCACAGCTCAGCAAGGGAAGCAGCAACATATGCCCAACATGGGGGGAAGCTGAGGCCTTAGTGGCCGCAGGCCCAGGAGACAGAGGCAGAGGAACTTACTATCTTGTTTTACACATTAGTCTGTAATAGGAGACAGAATCTTCCACCTGCTGGTTTGTAGGAGGACATTGTGAGCCTGGAAGGCCAGCGAGCACAGGTTTGCAGTTCATTGGACAGTATTTGCATGGCAATAACCAAATGGCTACCTTTGGTATAAACAGCATGTAAATGAGAACACCTAGCGCGATATACAAGACAAAAGGAATTCCAATCTAGAGTGCGAAGAAAACAGTTGATGGTTTTGTTTATGAGCTCGATGCTTCCTCCCCTACCCAATACGGACTTTCAGAGTATAAAGTCTGATGCCCCTAATAAACTTCGGCTTTGACCATCAGTCAGGGTCCACGCGTGTTATTATCGGCTCTGTGCACCAAGTCCATCACTGCGGGACAGCGACACTGGTTCACTGTCTATATGGCTGCAAACTGTGGGGCTGGATCAGGCTGAAACCAGGAACCTGGAACTCCATCCTAGTCTCCCAAGCACTTGGACCATCCTCCACTGCTTTCCCAGGTGCATAAACAGGGAGCTGGATGGGAAGTGGAGCAGCAGGCACTCAAGCCAGCACTGTGATAACGAATGCTGGCATCCCAGGCCATGCTGTGCTATAACGCTGGTCCTCAGGATTTTTTTTTTTTTCTTTAAGATGGAATTTTTTCCCCCAAGATATTCAGGACTGAGAATCATGCTTTTATATTAAATATACATTTTTTATATTAAATATAAATAAATATATATATCTTTCATTTTTATTTGAAAGAGATACACACATACACACAGAATCTTTGGTTCTCTACCAAATGGCTGTAACAGTGGAGCCAGGAGGAAGCCTGAAGCCCAGACCGCCAGCCACCTCTCTCCTGGAGAGAGAGAGGTGGCAGGGCCTCAGCAACTTGAATCAGCACCTGCAACTTCCGGAGTCAAACTCTGATACAAACTGTCAGTGTCTTCAACAGTGTTGTCCAATGCTCCAAACCTCCCCCCTCCCCCCAAGAAATGTTCTAGAAGTGAACTTGATGGGCTCAAGGGTGCCAACATTTGTAGGTTAGTAGAGATTGCCAAATGGTTCAAAAAAAATTATATATGGTTACATATCACCTGTTTAAGGTGCAGGTTAGAATGCCACAACCCAAGGGCCCCTGACCTGATGGCTTAATTGGCTAATCCTTATCTTGTGAGCGCCGGCATTTTTTATGGATGCCAGTTTGTGTCCTGGCTGATCCACTTCCCATCCAGCTTCCTGCCTGTGGCCTGGAAAAGCAGTCAAGGATGGCCCAAACCCTTGGGACCCTGCACCCACGTGGGAGACCCAGAAGAAGCTCCTGGTTTCAGATTGGCTCAGCTCTGGCCACCTGGGGAGTGAAGCAGTGGATGGAAGATCTTTCTGTCTCTCCTTCTCTCTAAAAATCTGCCTTTCCAATAAAAAGATATTTTTAAAGGATTTATTTATTTATTTTTTATTAGAGAGTCAGATATACAGAGAGGCCAGAGTTGAGTTGATCTGAAGCCAGGAGCCAGGAGCCTCCTCCATGTCTCCCACACGGGTGCAGGGTGTGGGCTATTCTCGATTGCTTTCCCAGGCCACAAGCAGGGAGCTGGATGGGAAGTGGGGCCTCTGGTACATGAACTGGCACCTATATGGGATCCCGGCTCCTGCAAGGCAAGGACTTTAATATATATATAATATTATATATATTATATTAATATATTATATATATTAAAACATCCAAATATATATATATATATTTTAAAGCAGAGTGCCTGGGGCGAATGCCAGGCTCTGCTTCCTACTAATTCAGAGTCTGCAGGGCAGCAGCAACAGCCTAAATGATTTGGTTCCTGCCACCCACGTGGGAGACCTGAATGGAGTTCCACGCTTCTGACTTTGGTTCTGGTCCAGCCCTGGCCGTTGAAGGAATCTGGGGAGTAAACTGGCAGATGGGAGCGCTCTCTATTCTAAATGCCTCAATGAAACACATGAAAGGGGCCAGTGCTGTGCCATAGCAGGGTAAGCCTGCCCACTGCAATGCCAGCATCTCATAGTGGCTCCGGTTCGAGTCCTGGTTGCTCCACTTCCAATCCAGCTCCCTGCTGTTGCACCTGAGAAAGTAGAGCACGACCCCAATGCTTGGTCCCCTGTGACCCATGTGGAAGATTCAGAAGGGTCTGGCTTCATCCTGGCTCTTCCATTGCAGCCATCTGGGGAAGTGAATTAGTGGATGGAAGATCTCTGTATAAGTCTGACCTTCAAAGAAACAATTTTTGTTTTAAAGAAGATGAGAAATATCCCTAAGAATCCACCCAGGCCGCTTGCCCAGGACAGGCCTGAGGTCTCTTAGTCAGTACACCTTGACCTTGCCCACCTGAGATTTCCATGAAGTCATCCAGACTGGGCTGTAGGGGTGTCAGGTCCGGCTGAATCATGTCAGCATTACCCACGTAGGCTGGTGGTGAGAAGGCGCAGGGGTGCCAGTCAGAACCAGCAACCCCAAGTCCTTCTCCCCCTCCCCCCCCCCCCAGCCCAGCCCAGCCCCATGTCCCTCACCCTCCTCCGGGGGCAGCTGCAGGGGAGAGGGCCTCGGCTGGGTCATGGTAAAGAGCGTATCGGAGATGTCGGATAGAAAGCAGTCGAGGCCCAGCAGCTGCCGGCCGCCGGGCTCCTCCTCGGGGCCTCCCAGCAGCACAGGCACCACGCTGGAGAAGAGCTGTTCGCACCATCGCTCCCCCGGCGGCCACCCCACTTCTGGCTGGCCAGGGAGGGAGGACACAGCACTTACTGCCTGGGGAAACCGCCCTGGCCACACCCACCAGTGTTGGAGGACCTGTTTGCTATCTGGAAGGTCAAGGGCATCTCTTGGATTCCCTACCAGATAGATACCACTCTCCTCCCTGCCAGGGGTTTCCTGATGTGAAGAGATAAGGGGACCCCTTTGGGCATCTTTATGCCTTTTTAAGGGGAGGCTGGGGTCCCTGTGTCCTTAGCATCCTTAGCATCCTCTGCTCCCACCCAACAGGCCTCCTTTCCCTTGCCCACAAGCCTGGGGGTCCTCTCTAGTACTGCACCCTCCATTCCCAGGTCCCTGGCCATTCCTGCCCTGTGTGCGTAGGCCGAAGCTGCACCCACCTGCTTGGGGGCGAGGAGGTCTCCTTCCCGGCTGGACTTACGGAGCTGCAAGAACACAGAGTTGGGATGCCGATGCCCCTGTTCCTGTCCCGCTCCCATGCGACCCCCCGGGAGTTCCCGGGGACCCCGAGGTGTGTGGGGAGAGGGGGAAGGGAGAAAGCTGCGCCGAGCGCGCCCGGCCGCACGGTGGCGATGTGGACCCGGTACTCCCAGGAGGGCGCGAGGCGGGCAGGCTGGGGGGGGGGGACATCGGGAGTGGGCGACAGGAGCTGGAGGGGGGGGACACTCCCGACTGACCCGCTTCTTGTAGTAGATGCGCCACTTGTGGTACTCGCGCATCACCACCTCGATGCGCCTCTTCCAATAATTGCCCTCCAGGACCACGGCCTTGGCAGAGTTCGGGGAGACGGGGTTCAGCAGGAAGGTGACCCTCCCAAGTCCCACCCCTCCTGTTGCCCCAAGGCAGGAAGGGAGACAGTCCTGGGTCCCCGCGGTAGCTGGGGACTACCTCTGGTTTTCGGTGCTCATCTGCCTCCGGACCCTGCAGGGGAGTCACGAAACCACACACGGGGCTCTTCCTCCGCTGCACATCTGAAAGACAGGGCGTGGGGTGGGGTTCTCAGTCCTCTCCCGAAAAGGGATTGGGAATCAACATACTCCTCTCCCACACCTCCTAAGGGCCGCCTCCTGCAGGAAGTTCCCCTAGCCTGCTGCAGCCCTCAGACTGGCACAGGGACTTCCCACACCTTCTCCATCGTGGCCGGGAGCTGCTGGCCAGGTGGGTTTGCTAAGTAATGGTTGGGGCTGAGCTGTCCCAAGGAGAGCCTGGTCAGGCTGGTAGACCAGATGCTCTTTGCTATGTGCGCCGCCTTCTAGGGAAAGCAGAGGGGTGGGGGTGAGATGGAGGCTTGTACTGCCCTTCCCATCAGCCTCCAGTCCTGACCTCTTTGCTAGAATCATTCCTTCTGCGTCTGCATCACAGTTCCCATCTGGATCTCCCAAGGCTTGCTGGTCCAACCCTGGCCTCCCATTCCCTCTTTGCTTGGCCCCTCCCATCTCTGCCCCCTCCCCAGCCAGACCCCCACCTGTGCCTGTACCTGCCTCATTGACCCCCCCCCCCCCATGCCTGTGATCTGGACACAAAGCTGTTGCTTGCCCTGCCTGCCCTTCTCACACCCCACATGGCCGCAGCACAGCCCACCCTCTCTGGTCTGAGTTGCCAGGGAGTGCCCCTGCCTTGACCTGCTCAATCTTTAGGATGGCCCCTCCTCCAGGAAGCTTTCCCTCCCTCAGATCCCAGGGTCCTTGCTGCCTCTCCCTACCTTTGCCTGTCATTGCTCTGCACACCTGCCTCCCTGTCTCCCAGCTTCTCTAGGGAGCAGGACAGCCTGTAAAGAGAGGGGGTCCTGGCAGGGGAGGGGCTCCCAGTAGAAGAGGGGGTTCCAGCCAGTTTCCTCTGTGACACCCATGGGAACACAAGGAACTGAAATAGGCAGGCTGAATCCAGGAGCCAAAAAACTCCATCCGGGTCTCCCATGGGGAGGTGGCAGGGACCCACCTACTTGAGCTATCCACCTGCTGCCTGCCTCCCAGGGTGCACATGAGCAGGGAGCTGGGGCTGGGAGCAGAGCCGGGGCTCAAATCCACACACTCATATGGGAAGCAGGTGTCCCAGGCAGGGTTTTAGCCACTGCACAAACCGCCCATTGGGAGTTTGTGCATTTACCAAGCTCTGCCCTGAAATACATCTCTCCAATACATCACAGGGCACTGAGAAAGGGGCGGTGTGGTGGAGGACTGGGTCTGACTTAGACAGCAGATAAGAGGGGTGTAGACTCCCAGGTCTCCTGGGTAAGATGAGCCCAAGGTCAAGTGCTGATTGGGTAGAGCCTGCCTTCCCCCTGACCACACTGCTGTGAGGTAGGGGTGGGGAGCCTGTGTTCCTGTGGCTTCCTGGGGGCTCCCCAAGAAGTTAGTCCTCTCTTCCTCGGGGACATGTCCTGGGCTGGGGACCTGCAGCCGCATCAGGGTGCTGGAAGCTGCAGCTAGGTGGCAGAGATAAGAAAAACAAACAGAGATAAGGTCAGGTGGAAAGTCCTTCCAGCCAGGAAGGGTGGAAAAGTGCCCTGGGAGCATGGAGTGTGTGGGGGGCGGTAACCAAGAAAGGATCTGAGTCAGGGAGGGCACAGGTGCCTGTAAAGAGGAGGACCAAGCCCAGCTCCCCGCCCCTGCGGTTTAGGGACTAAGGGGAGTCCTGCTGTTTGTCACATACATGCCTGCTGTGAGCTGTCACCATCACCACCATCATCATCACCATCACCACTGCCATCATCTTCACAGCCAAGCTCCTTCCCTCCAAGGAACTCAGAGAACTCCTCACCATGAACCTGGGACCTATTCTTACTCTCACCTTACAGACGAGGAGGCTGCAGTCATAGGGCATGCCCAGATCAGCTCTAACTGAGCTCTGACACACAGAGCCTGGAGTCCCCACGGCAGGAGAGGATGGGGGGGGGGGGCGGGGAGAAGACCCTAGGCTGGGGGGAGCAGCACTAGAACTCCTCAGGGTGACAGTTGTGTGTCCCAGGCAGCTTTTATATGCGGAGAGGGGGGAGCTTGAATGGGATGTGGGGGGACGCTGCATACTGACTCCCCCTGGTTTCTCGGCTTTCCAGCTAAGCCAGGATCTGTCAGCAAGGGCTCAGAAATGGTCGTGAGCCCAAGAACCATTTGCTCCTGCACACCCCAGTGGGCACCCATGGGTGCCCCTGAATGCTCCTGGGAGGCTTGGGAAGCAGACAGTGAGCCGACTGAGAGTCCCAGGCTCCGTGTGGTGGGAGAGTCCCCGCTGCTGGGTGAACCTGAACACGGTCACTTGCTTTCTGAGCCTCAGTCACTCATCCACAAACCGGAAGTAGGAAGATGTACCCTGCGGTGTTGCCAAGGCAGCCTTGAACCTGGGGATTCATGCAAGTGCTCGGCATACAGGTGGATAGGAACCAGCACACATGCCCTGCCCTCTGTGTGCCTGGGTGGGGCAGAGATCAGCATGGGAGTGGGAGAGAAAAAAAAAAAACGTGTGTGGCTCAGGACTGGGTCTGACTGCCCTGGAGAAGGCCCTAGCACAGGACTGGCTGGCCCACATTCAGCCACTGCTGCCCACAGTGTCCCCAGATGAATGGAAGTAACCTTCAGAGGACACATCCTTTATTGGACAGTGTCTTAGTGCCAGGCCCTCTCACACCTGCCGTCGGCACGTCACACGCTGGCTTCACGTTAGAGTTAAGGATACAAGTTCAGAGAGGGTAGTATGCCTACTTGAAGTCACACAGCCAGCCAGGGGGCAGAGACTGGGTCGCAAACCAGCTCTGGGTTTGACTCCAAGGCCAGAATCTCTTCCAGTACAGGCCATGATCTCTGTAGCAAGGGTGGGGGTGTGTGTGTCCCTTTTCTCCCAAATCTCCATGGAGGGGTTCCAGCTGGGAGTATAGCCAAGGTGACAAGGAAAGACTGGCAGACACCTGCCAAGGTGACACAATGTCCCTCATAGTATCCACTGCCCACTCCAGTGCCCTAATGGGCAAGGCACTCTACAGGTGCCTGTAGAGGGAGTGCTTGGGACATTGGATGGGCCAACCCTCAAACCCACCTTGGGCCTTGCCAGGCATCCTTGGGGAACTATATTCCCTATATTCTAGGAGAGAGGGGTGGTCAGAAGCCACTAGTGGGTCCTAGTGTCCCCCCAAGAGGCTGACAGCCCCCTACCCTGAGGGCACAAGGGTCTTCCCTGGATGTAACTCCACCCACTCCAGTGCCCTGCAGCGCTCAGCCCACTGCCTGCCGGTGGGGAGGCCCTCGGTTCCCACTCACACTGGATGTACCAGGCCCTCCAGATGGCGTTGTTGAGGCGGATCTTGTCTCGGCAGAGCAACTTGAGGCCTTTGAAATTCTTCCACTTGGGAGAGACCAGCTTGCCACTATAGGGGGAACAGGGAGGAGGTGAGTCAAGGCTGGGGTCAGGGAAGTGAGGAACCCAGGCAAATGAGCCCTACAATCCTGCCCCTCATTGATCGTGCTCTTAACAATACTGCTCTCCCAGGCAGCCACCGCCAGGGAGCCACCAGGGCCTGTGACATTGTGGGGACACCGTGCCTGGACAGAGTGTCGGTGGCCTCAGATCAGAGCTTTCAGGCTTTGCTTTGCCGGTCCCCTGTGACTGTCCAGGACTGCAGCCATATGGTTGGAATTGGGAGATGGGAGTGTAAGATGACTAGTCCGAGTCAGTGATCTTGAGACATGACCTTGACCCTCACTGTAACCCTAGGGGTCCATCAAGTTCACAGTGGTGGGAGGTGACTCAGGCCAAGGTGCTGCCTCCAGGGAAGTTGGCACTCCCTCCTTCCTTCCTCAGGGGCTATAAGCCAGGACTGTGCCCCAGTGCCCGGTGTGTGCCCTCCCTCCACTCCTTACCCATGGGACAGGCTTAACTCCCAGTGTCAGATCCTTTGGGAAAGACAGGCCTACTCTTTTTCCCAAAGGGGCCTCTCCCTGGCACTGGGGTCACAGGACAGGGAAGAGGTAGATGCCAGGTTGAACTTCTTAGCTCCTCCCACAAACCCCAAGCTCATGGGTCATTGAGTCCTTTCTCCTCTCTGGTCTCCAAGCTCCTGTGTTTGCTTTGGGGCTGGTAGTTGCTGGCGAGGGGAGACAACGGGCTCATTACCCAAATGGAGTTTGGTATCCAACTCTCCTGGAGTTGGATAAACACCATCTGGCTAGGAAGGAGGTGGGGGAGTGGGGCTAGAAGGGACACACTGACCCCTCCTGAGTCAGCCGCTGTGGTGGCACCTGTAGGTGTGTGGGGGAGGCAGGCCTGCCTGGATCCTAGCACCCCCAGCCTGGTGTTTGTGGCCTAAGTAGAGGTGGCAGGTGTGTGTGGTGGTGGTGGGGAGAGGACTGTATCCCAGTCCAGGAGGAAAGGATGGAGAGCTGAGATCTGAGGGACCCAGCCTGGAACAGGAAACTCAGGGCCAGGTACATTTTAATTGGTGGAGAGAACTTAGGACCCTCAGGCACAAACCCTACATCCCCCTCCCCCTTGCTCCATAACACCTTGCAGGAACTCCCCTTCCTGCCTGCTGGCCCTCCCACCTTACCCCACCCCTACCTCACTCCCATCCCCACCCCACCCCACCCCCCAATCCCTGAGGCTGATGTCTGCACCGGCAGTCAGTTCTGACCATGAACAAGAACTTTCTAGGAGCTCACAGAATCTGCCTCCTGGCCTCTCGGCTGCCGCCCGCCCACGCACACCTACAGAACACAGTCTCCCTAAAAAATCCCTCCCCTCCATTCTCACTCTGCCCTCTCCCCGGGGGAGGGGGAGGGTTAGAGACCAGGCTCCAGGCCACCCTTCTCCTCCCCCTCCTTTTCCTCCTCACTAGCGTCCCCTCCCACCATTGGGTCCCACCATTCTCTGCTATCTGCTACACCCTGGGAAAGTTGATTCCTGCACTTTCTAGGAAAACCCCTAACCTTGGGGTGTTGGGGAGGGGGGCTTTGAGGACTTCCACTCTGACTCAGTCTGAGCCTCAGCGTTCCTCCCCACATCCCTGGCCGCTGCCAAGCAGGGTAATCCAAAGGCTCCCTTGGGGACAGTACCAGCTCCCAATCCCTGGAGCGGGAGGGGGGGGAGGGGGTTCCCAGCCAAGAGCTTGGAGTGTTTGGGGGAACAGGCTGGACCCTCATCAGCCTTCAGTCAGCTTCTGAGTAGGGGAGCAGTTTGGGGGTGCACTGCAGCCTGATCCCTTCTCCCTACTTACGACCCGATGGGGGAGGGGAATGCTGCAGGTGCTTGGGTCCCAGCAGAGCAGGTGCATGGTGTTGTAAAGCAGGAAGCTTCTTTGGGGGTGCGGATGGGAAATGGGAACTCTTTGGGGAAAAGGGGTGCCGGCGCTGGACGGACCAGGACCTCAGATGCCCTGTCACAAGCAGTCTCGTGATGTCCGGGGAGGGACGCGGGAAGGGGTGGGGAAAGGGACAGGGAATTTGAACTTTCCACATCGGTCTGGCGCCCTGGACTATCAGGTTGCAACAGGACCTGGGCCCGGGGCCAGAACTTGTGGGCCAAGGTTACGTTGCCTCCAGCCAATGGGGTCTTGGCTGGGGTGGCCGCGATCTGGGTGGGGGATGGGGTTGGTTAGGAAGGCGACGCTCCCCGGACCCGAGCTGTGTCCGCACCCTAACTTGCAAGCGCCCCCCGCAGCCTTGGGGGCAGACGCCGGGTCGGTAGCCAACGGTTTTCAGGAGGGGAGGAGGCGCCGCGGAAGATGAGGATGTATTTGCACTGAGGAAAGATCAAGACGGACTGATCTCCCTTCTTTTCCCCCATTAAGGTCTGCGGTTGATAATTTATCCCGGTCCCTCCGCTCTGAGGAACTTTGCTCCGGGGCACCGGGCCAGGACCCCGGTTCGCGCCCTCCTGGCGGACGCGGGGCGTGGGAGCAAAAAGCCGGGGCGCGGCGGGCGAGGCGCCAAAGCGGTGGGTTGTGGGGGGTAGGGGTGCGGGAGACCGATGCCGACAGGTGCGGCGACCCCAGCAGGCAGCCCCGCGACTCCCGCTGCTCCTGGCCATGCATCTCCTGCAAAGCCCTCCACCCCGCGACTCTGGACTCCCGCGAGCAAGACCATCCTTGACCCAGAGGGTCAAGAAAAGGGGTCCCGGACGCTAAGGGGGCCAGGCTGCATGTAGGTGCTCGGACGGATGGAGGGACCCCGCTGTGCAAATGGGAGCAAGTGACCTAAACTGCGGGAAGCGCACGGGGTGTGGGGGTGAGACGGAGGATCCAAGAACACGAGGGGATCCCCGCATGGGTCTAGGGGGGATGGGCAAGTGGGGCGCCCCCAGGGGAGGGCTGATGGCCGGGAGGGATGCGGAACCAGGGAGGCACTGGTCCTTTGTAGCCCACAGGATGAACCTGGGTTGGGGTGCTGGGAGGAGACAGACACCCGGGCCTGGGGTCAGAGGGTGCTAAGGGTGTGACCAGAGTTTCGGGGTGCAGCCTGGAGCTAGGGCTTGGTCGGGTTATCCGGGGTGCTCCGGAGCGGGCCCTCACCTGTAGGCTAGACTCAAGCACTCGAAGAGACGGGTGAGGGTGGGATCGATGCTGCGCGGCCCGAAGTCGGAGAGCCCGACCGGTCCCTCCTGGTCCCGCCGCCGGGTCAGTGAGTCGCTGTGCGGCGACGACACCATGAAGTGTCCGCTGTGGATGACCTGGGCACGCAGCAGGCCTCCGGCGCCGCGCCGGGCATTCGGGCCCTCCGAGTCGGTGTCCGAGTCCGAGTCCGGGCTGGGCACGGCCCGCGGGACCTGCAAGTCCGCGGCCAGACCCGCCAGCGCCCGGGCCATGGTCATCGCTGCTGTCGCCTGGCCCCGGGGGCTCGGCCGAGTGGCCGCGGCGGGCTCGGCCCTCCAGGCCTCGTTAACATAACCACACCTTCCTCCGCCCGATTGGCCGCGCAGGTGGGCGGGCGCGGCTGCATTAGCATAAGCGATGCACCAGGTGTGAAGGGCGCAGCCTCAGGTGTTGGCGAGTCCTCGCCTGCAGCCTCTGCTTCTAGGGGACCACTCGGGGTCCTGGCAGGACCGACAGGGCTGTCCAGTAAGGCAGACCCTCACTCCTGGGCCCCCCAGCGCCTCGATAATTGGGGGGGGGGTTCTCATTCCCAGGGACGGATGAAGCCTTGATCCATGGAGAGGTATTCACGAAAAATACTCACAATCATAATACTAAAAATTCAAAGTTAAAAAATAAAATTAAAAAGGAAAAAAGACAAAATAGAAAACCAACTTTAAAAAGCGAGACATTTGCATTTCTCATCTCCTCCAGGACCCTTGAACAAAATCCTCAAGAGATGGGGTTCAGAGGCACATCAGGACCAAAGCATACCCAAAGGATTGTTCTAGAAGATTCCAAACTTCACAGCTAGGCTCAGCCACCGCCATCCTGGGGGTGGATTAGGGTTGGGGGATGGAGGGGCAGAAGCCTGCAGGTCCATGTGAACCTGTCGGGGCACTGTGGATAGTGTCACGCGGGGGGGGGGGCAACAGGAAGTGGTGGAAAAGGGACTGGGGAAAGTCCGGAGTGATGGACACAGCCCCCTTGGCTCCAGAGTCTGGGTGAAGGTCCCAGGTCCCAGGGTGAGGGAAACAGCCACTCCCATCCCTTCAGGAAGTCATCTGGCATTCCCAGGAACCCCATGGCTGTGGCGGTGGCCGTCCAGCTGCTGCGTCTGTAGGTGACCCATTCTCCCAGCCCCTCTTCCCGCCAGCAAGACTCGCCTTGGCTCCCTCTTCCTCTGGGACGGCCAACTCACTGAGCAGTCCCCAGGGTCGCTTCTGACCCCACACCACCTGCCTGGCTTGTCCTCAGGGTTAAATCCAGTGATTCCTTAGGGTCCTTGGTCCAAGGTCATCACTGCAGTCAGTGCCCCCACCCTATGCCTTCCTGGGGCAGAGGTTAGGGAGGGGAGCTCCTGCCTGGGTGACCCCAAAGAACTCTCTCTGGAGCCCAGCGGACAGGGCAAGCGCTCCCCTTGTTCTCCTGCCATCCTTCTCCTCCCCCGCCACAGCTCCCCTTCCTTGCTGGGATAGCTCCCCCAACCTTGAACCTCCCCAGATTCTGTCTGGACTCCCCACTCCCTGCCAGGTCCCAGTAACAAATCTCACTCCCTTTCGTTAGGTGCGCATGCCTCTGTTTTCCACTAGGTGGCAGAGTCCCAGTGAGCAAGAAATCACTTTTTTTTTCCCAGCCCATTTCCTCCGCTTCCAGGGCAAATGCTCGAATAAGAGTCAGCCTGAGTGTATTCTATCCATATCCTGACAACAATTTGCCCCCGCGCTGAGCACAAATAGACCTTTTCCCTGCTTGTGCGCATTCCCTTAAACAATAGCTATATAGCAGGTCTTCCCATTAGCATAGATATGATACTACATCAAGAGATGTAAGTATTAGGCAGGTGTCTTGCTATTATTATTTGGGGGGAGGGGGGAGAGGCAGACATGGCCATACAGAGACAGCTTCCACCTGCCGAGTTATTCCCACTTTGCGTGCATGGGTTATGCCAGGCTGAAGCTAGGGGTCTACTGTGGCTCCATCTGGGTCTTCCCCAGGTGCTGTCAAGCACTTGAACCATTGTCGAACCTGAACCTCTCGGGGTGGGCGTTAACATGAAGCCAAGCCAGAGCTGGAACTCAAACCTTAGCCCACACCTGCCCCTGTGCTATTTTTAGTTTTGCAAAAGTTAATCCATCTCAGAAGGCAAATGTTTGGAATCCGTGATCTCCGCTAGATAATTACCAGTGACCTGGAGGTGGGGGGAACCGGAGTGTGATATGTCCCAGGTAGAGGGTTCCTTTTCCAGTGCTGGGAAGTGTGCTGGGATTTGTGGTGATGGACCCCCAACTCTGGGAACATGGAGGATCACTGGAACACGGGGGGGGGGGGAAAGGCTGCATAATTTGCAAATTATATGTCAATTTAAAAAACCAGGCCCTTGTGTACCTGATTCCATCCTCTGACAGTTCTCTCAGCTACAGCTACAGGCGAGGGTGTTGACATTTTCATCACCATCATAAACTTTTATTCCATTTATTTGAAAGAAAGAGACCCTGATAGCCTCTTAAAGGGGTCACCATGGTCTTATATCTCAGAGACCAGGAGAGGATCCCATGGCAAAGCAGGACGAGAGAGGTGTGTGCTCCTGGTTACAGTGAGACCCCCCCGGAGGCCTCCCAAGTGCTCTTCATTGCAGAAGCAATGAACACTTTGTCAGAAAGGACGCCCAGGGCCATGTCCCAACTACCAAGGAGGTCATTGGAGATCTGACTGTCCTTGAATGCCAAGTACTTCAGGTCAGTCATCTCCCATTGGATCTCCCACATGGGACGGAAGCAGCCTGGGAACCTGCACAGGCTCAAGGTCATCCACGGACTTCGGTGACACCTTGTAACAGCATCGAGGAGCCCCGGGTGGTTCTCACAGTGGAAGAGAAAACTGTAATTTTGTCTGGACACTGCCTTCTCTGTCCTAGCTAGCTTGGGCTTCTTCCCTCTCTTAGGGTGACCATCAGGGTCTCTCAGGAGCTCCAAATTAGCTTAGGTGACAGACAGACTAATCTAGAAGCTCAGAAAAGCAGCTTTCCTAGGGAAAAGTTAGCTTGTAACTGTCAGCCTGCATCGCTGACCAGGCTCCTGACAGGGCATGTTTGCCATCGCTCTTCAGTTTGTACTAGACATCACTAGGTAGAACACCCTCACCATTCTGAGGCAGGGTTCATGTCTTCCTCATCTACGAAATTATTGGGGATCTCTCTGTTCATATATTTAAGACTCTTCTGTTCTCCAACTGTCAATGTATGGCTTGTTACAACTACAGGACTAGTTCATTGCCTTTGCCCTAATGTGTGGAGTTTTGTGAATTCTTACTAGAATGCCATAAGCTGCTGGGTTATTGTAATTCACAACTAGTTTAGTCTTTTGCCATCTACGCTATGATCCAGATAAGTCTTGTAATGAAATGTTTTCAGCGTTGTGCTTTATGTTCTAGGCTCAATGTCTTCTGACACTCTTAGGGTTTCCAGCAACTGGTAAAGTACAATTGTTATTTTAAAAATCCACCATTTGTATACAAAGCAACTGTAGTATTTTCAAAAGTCAAGTAAGTTTAAATCTTAATTCAGAATCATCAATGCTAGACGAAATTGTAACTCCATGGAAACTTAATGTTTACATGCCCTATATGGGTTCAAGTCCTAAAGCCACATGTCAACTTTCATTGGTTCTGTGCCTTCTAATGGACCTAGATAGCAATTTCATGTAGCTCAGAAAGTTTCATGTGTTCTATAATGTTCATTGAGTTTAATTGTTTCAAAACTTGAGCTTAAAAAGAATTATTTCAAACTGATAAATCTAGTTCATAGCCTTAAACACTGCTCAAGTCCAATGTTCAACAAAATATTTCTCATATCTAAGTTCTAAAATTCAAGTATTCAAACTGATGTTTCCACCTATCCCATTACATACTAGGTTGGGAGAGATAATAATTGTCTTTGTTTTGTCATCTAGACTTCAACAAGAAAGAACACCCAGAGCCAAAACAACCTGCCAGGCACATCTGATGACTTCTGCCAGGCGTCTCTGACTTCTACATTCCACTGGGGACCCTTAGACCGACCCCCAGAGGAATACCCAACTGCTGCCTTTGAACTACGCCCTCTGTCAGCAGGAAGCAGTTAAGAACGGTCGTCGTCCCAGTCCCTAACAGCAGTTAGGGTTACTTCTTCTGGGGGGCGGAATGAGAGAGGAGTTAGAGTGGGTAGTAGGCAGTTAGGGTATTCTGGGTCCCGGAGTAAAAGAGAATTTCCCCACCATGTCTTGGATTCACCAGAGTAGTCTCTTCCAAGGGACAGGGGTGCTATTAGCATATCAATTCCCCACCTGAAGTATCGGCCATCCCCTCTGGCCATTGTGGGAGGGCCTCAGGCCGATCTCTTTATCATTGAAAGGAGAGCAGGAAGAAGTAATACACATCCGCCTAAGGCCTGGAATGTCCTATGTCTGGTATCTCTGTGACCTTTTGTCCCAAGGCCAGGTACCTTGGAAACCAGGAATTTTCTTTGTTTATGGAGAAATATCTTTGAGGGAAACCTTTAAAAGGTGCATTTCCCACCATTGATACGGGTTTTGCTTCTTGTCCTCCTGCCACTATGGCAGAGGACTAGGGTCTTCTATTTACTCTTCCTCCTGCCACTGTGGCAGGGGGTAAGGGTCCTTTCTATCTCAAAACCCCCTCCCGTCACTAGGACGGGAGTCTTCTCTTCTCAGCTTTTCTAATAAATCTTGCATTAAAACTAAAAAAAAAAAAAAAAGAAAGAAAGAAAGAAAGAAAGAGAGACCTAGGGTGGCAGAGATTTCCGCCATCTGCTCATTAACCTTCCTAAAGTGCTGCAACACCCAGGATTGGATCAAGGCCAAAGCCGGGAGCCTGGAACTCTGTCCAGGTCTCCCACGTGGATGACAGGGACCCAAGCACACAGGCCATCCTCCGCTGCTTGCCCTGGGTTTGGATGAGCATGGAAGCTGAACAGAGTCATGAATGAACTTTGATGCGGAATGCAAGTGCCCCAGGTGGCAGATGCACACCAGACCACCACCCCCAGCTGTCATTTTAAGGAGGAAAAAGGAAAGCTAGCACAGGTGTTGTTTGTGTTAAGGGTAGTTGGCACTGCACACATAAAGGAATGACAGTTGGAGTGCCGGCTGCTCTGCTCCCAAGCCAGCTCCCTACTAAGATGCCTGGGAGGGTAGCAGAAGATGGCCCAAGTACTTAGGCCCCTGCCATCCATGTAGGAGAA